CATTATCACTCCACAGAGTGTCGAGCAGTGATGCACGAACATAATCCGGTAATTTCCAGTTGAGTGACCATCCTGTCTACGTTATACTGTATAACTTTTCAGCATGTGTTTGATAACTGCATTTGAGGGATCAATGCAATAAATGTGTATCTATATCTATCTCTACAGACTGAACATAGATCTAAGAAAGATATCGGCCATATAGGTTGGTATTAGATTATTTCACTCCTAAAAATCCCATATTGATTGGGCCCTACTCATCAGTGGTGAAATCAGATGGTGTATAGGATTATACATTGTTTATGTTTAACAAGAGGTTTTAATCTTGTTAAAATTATGTCATCATGTGGAAACAAATGTGACATGGGCAGCAGGGGTCTTGCACAGGAAACTGTTTAGCTCAGGTGTAAAGCTCACACCTCAACAATAAATTCTGAGCATATTGCATTAGTATTTTTTTTTTTTTTTTTTTTACACAGATATTTGTGTATTTGGCCTCTACTTCTTAGCACGACAAAATCTGTCTGCTATGTGGTCTTAATACGTACATAAACTCTACACAAACAAAATGAGAAAGATAATGATAATAATACAGCACATACATTTGCAACTCTTGGAATAATATACGCTACAGACAAAAAAGGGGAACCAGCTGTCATGCGTGTGACTCTGTATTGCTTTTAGAATAGGATACATTATTATGAAGCAGTCTGGGGCAGCAGGTCTGCTGTCTGACAATATGACTTGCTGGAATTGATTTTGAGGCCAAAATTCAATACTGAATTTCAAATAACAAACAAACAATTTTCTGCAGCTGTACTTGAGCTTTTATAAAACTCACAAACATGGCCACACACACACACACACACACACACACACACACACACAGTCCATCAATGGCAGGCTGCCAAATCGCTCTGCTCTGACCTTCTTTTCCACCCCACAGCTGCTGCCAAATCTGAGTCCTTGTGTGTCTGTGTCTCTCTCTCTCTCTCTCTCTCTCTCTGTCTACCTCACTCACTCACTCACTCACTCACTCACAGCTCTGGCAGCCTATCAGAGATGAGTATTTCTCGACCTGGGGGGCCAGTCTGGGTGCAATCCACCAGGGAAAATTTAACTTTGAATAAGAAGCAGCAGTAAATAGTCACACACATGGGTAAAATTACCACACACTAAACCTCTGCAACTTTCAACTAATGGGTGGTTTATCACAGAAAAACACATTCAGACCGTCATCAGGGGTTTGTATGCCGCTGCTGCTGCTGCTGCTGCTTTCCCAACTTAAGTCCTTTAATGCAGCTGCCAGCAGAAATATGAGGACACAGAGCAGTCCTCCTAACCTAATCTGGACCTTTACACAGACATCTTTTGTTTTAACCCTGTGGGGGATCACAGACAGAAAAGAGAGTGACTGTGAGGAAACACTGGGAGGACTGGACACCAGTTGGCTGCAAGGGCGAACTCACTGACCTCGTCATGGGCACTCAAACAAACAAATAATGAGGGTAACTGCCTCCTTTCACTAAACAGTGAAGGACTGTTGAAGAGTTTCCTTAAAATTCAATTAAATAGACATTTCTGGAAATAGTGTTGTCATGCCAACAATAAAGCAAAGAAGAAGGAATTGAGGCTAACGCAAAAGGTTATGAAGACGAGATGACAAGGTAGCAGGAGAATCTGGACGACATGACAACAAACAGATAACAATGCAGAAACACACGGCATCTGGCAGTTCAGCCATTCATTCAACTCATGCAAACAGTCAGAGAGAATCAAACTACAAGACACGCTTCTTGCAGGAATTTCACCCAAACACAATTTTGTAGTTTTCTTGTTAGTTTGGAGACGTAAGAAATTGAAAGGCTGCTTTAGATCTACAGCCTGCTTAAGGCTTTAGGTCTCAGTTGTTTAAATCGAACTTCTAGCAGCTGCTCAAACACAACAGTTCCCCAGTTTGGGGGTTAGAATAGAATAGAATTACTTTATTGATCCCAGACTGGGAAATTGTGGCGTTACAGCAGCAGGTTATCCAACACACAATATGAGTAAAAAAAACACAATGTTAGCAAATCTAAACATAATATAATATTAAATACAAAGTAAATAAGTACTAAAAAATATCAAAACTAAGAATGTGAATATATACAACCAGGATTTAACTTAGCTTTACTAGTTTTAAATAGGAAGATTAATTAAAGTACATATACTTATATATCTATCCATTTATAAATAACAGTAAGCAAGACAATGTATTAAGAAGCTGAAATACAATGATTTTATATCTAGAAAAAAAAAAGACATTTTAGGTATTTTCGAAATGCATATCTTGGAATGGGCTGTTTTCAAGTGTTCAGGCACTAATTCCATTATAACAACTAACAATTTCTAACTTTATAACCAAAATCCTAATGACATGGCCATATAATCCAGAGGCTTCTCACAACCTGTGATCAATTGACCAATCAGCAGTGTTGATGGTGTCATGCGACTCGATAATCATTCGCTGATGGCTGTCACAACAAATGAACTGCATCACACCAGCTCAGTTTACACATCAAGCAAGCAGTATCCAAGTCTATAAAAAAAAAAACAACCAAACAAAAAAAAAAAAAAATCTCACTCACTGGTAAAAGGTTACTACAGCTGCTGCTCCTCCATTCAAAGCCTTTGTGTATTTATCTTGAGAATATTACCAAGTGACCTACAATCAAGCAGTCCTTATCAGAGACGGTTAAATAACCACCTAATATAAAAGTAGATTTAAACACGCAACAAAATAACTAAGAGATAATTTAATGTTACTTTACAAAGCAATGCGCCTTGAAGCTCACAATAATGAGGCTCACAAAGAAAATGATTCCCAACGCTTAATGTGATCTTTTTTGTCCTACATTGTGAATATACAGGACAGTGGTTTATGACTAGAAATACGCTTATTGTTATAATACATCGGCATGTCAAGGCCAGAGACTATACGGTACAGCCGGACTTGCCTTGTTGCTGTAATGTTGATCATAGCTAATCTAGTTAGCCGCCGCTAGCCTCGCTTAGCATACGCGGGGCTAACGTTACGAGCAGCAATCTCAGTGACAGAGAGGGCGGACAGATAGTAACGCTGCGATGAACAAAACAGCCCCCGGCTTACCACCGCTATGTTGTTATCAACGCATCGAGGAGTTTACAAGCTCGTAGTTATGATCAACCGAGCCTAGCACCACGCAGCAGTGTTTCACTCTTAAGCTAACCACGTAGCGCCGCAGGACCAGGTCAAAAAACCAGCGCTGTGAATCCGACTCGGCTGCCGAGAACACAGGCGAGCAAGGCGGGCTTGCGCTCCACTCTCACCGCTAGGGAGAAAAAAAACAACATTGTGGCTCCTCCGCGGACAAATTCTGTGTTACACCGCTTTTGTTTTTTGTTTTTTTTTTAACTGCAGAAGCTGGGGGGAAAAAAACTCCACTTCTCAATCAAAACTATCAGCTTATATGGGTATTTTTCTTACCTGTTACGGTGAATTGTGATCAATCGTGTCCTCCTCTGCAGCTCTCTTCCCCCTCCTAGCTCCAAAATGGCGCCAATATGTATAGATTCAGTGCCCATGGGTACAAAGCATGAGTAGGTCTGTCGCGCCACCTATAGGGCGAGTCTATGTTTGTATTTTACGGTGGATTTGCCTTCATGGGATGCTCGTATTTTGCAGTTACATCGTCCAAAATCATTACAAATTCCTCTTTTTCAAGACTTGTAAATATTTAAACACACCGTTTCTTGACGGACTACAAATAGATTGTAGGCTATACGATCGTTTTCCTTGTCAAATACATGTTTAAAAATAATTATAGTATTTGAATGTCTTTTTTTTCTCTCTCGATGCTGCTCGGAATATTGAGCATAGTTAAGCATAATTGCTATCTTCTAAGAGTAAAATATCCTGATAAAAAAATGTTACAATATTGTTACAAACAACAAGGTGAAAGCATGTTTTAATAATTTATTAAATTATTACTGCAGGTAGCTTCGTCGTCAAGACTTGAAACAACAATATTCCGATTCACTTGAACGCACCAAAAGTGTTCTGACCAGGTTCTGACTTACTTTGTGAGAAAAGATAAGATAAGATAAGATAAGATATACTTTATTCATCCCAGCAGGGACATATAGGTGTTCCAGCAGCCAGCATACATACAAACACACAACACAACACATATTTACATACATAAAAAAAAACATGAGCCCACAATACAGTTTGATATATGATATATGCAACTCAGGCTAAAGTTTAAAAGTTTAAATGTCTTCTGTCCTTACTTAAAGGGGAGTCGTTATAAAGTTATAAAGTGCAATTGCAGTAGGTAAAAAAGTATTTTTGCTGAAAAATAGAAAATTAGTAAGTCAGAACCTGTCAGACATAAAGCACACAATGCTCTCATAAATCAGATATTCATTTCTCTTCAGCTTACAATACATTGAAATCGATTTAACTGCGTCTCAATTTGACTCAATAACTTGTTCCCTTTTAACATTTCAGGTGTACTGACTTTGGACCATTCGGCCAGTAGATTTCCCTGATCTTAAGACAACAAAATCATTTTTAAACCACTGCTAAGAATTTACCATACTGGCTTTCAGAACAAGAAACAGGGAAACAGGAAGAATTTTACTCAAATAGGAAGCTGCTTACTCTGTTTGTCTATGATCTCTGGCAAAATGCTCTTCTGCAGAGTTCTAAAAATGACTCTACTATTCTGCTCAATCCCACAGGATAAGGTTTATAATCTAATATAATAGCCTATGATATCATGTAATAACATTTAATATAATATAACATACAGCCTAATATAATATAATATAGCCTAATGTAATATAATATCATGTTGTTGTAAATAAATCATTCTATAGGCTCTATTTTCGGGAGGCCTGTAGGTCAATCAGAGCCTCAACGCCCCTGTTATCAATCAAACAATCAATCGACAATTAGTCAGCTGTTTAAATCCCTGCAGGAGAATCTTGGACTGGTTTCCTGGCTCCAGGATGGAGGGGTTCCTGTCCAATTTCCCACCGTACCTTGCCTCAGGACTAGCCCAGGACTGCGGCTGGGCAAAGAGAGAGGGCCGCTTCGTGACCCCCCAGGGCCTCAACTACCTGGAGCTCTGCAAGGCCATTCTGTGCCAGGTCAACCCGAGCCTACCTCCTCAGTTCAAGAAGGCAAACACCAAAGAGTGTGGCGTGCAAGTCAACGCCAAAGTAGACAAACTCGTGCAGTGCTCGCTGGGACCCAAAACGCTGTTCTGCTTGGAGGGCGATTCTAATTCCCCCTCGAAGTCCCCGAAGAGCCCAAATGAGTTCAAACCGGACGAGAGGGCGCTGTGTATGACTCCACCCGTCAGAAACCTTCGCTTCATGAGGCCCGTTTCCATTTATTCACCTGTGTTTGATCGCAGGAGCCTGCTGAAGACACTGGGCCGTGGCCGAGGAGGAAGTGAAGGAGACACTGAAGATGCCGAGCAAGAGTCTGATAAGGAGGCTGAGACGGATCGCAGCTGTGAGGACACCGCAAAGGACATCGAGGCCACTTTCAACAGATCTGCAAAGGGCTCAAAATTTCAGGTGGGTTTCCATGAAAATGACGAGCTCCTTTTTTTGGGGGGGGGGGTGGTTAAACCGACAAAAATGAGCCCACATGTATAGCCTGCTTGGATCAATTGTCATTATGATGTCTTTCGTGCAACATCTAAACATACCTTCTTTTTTTTAAGTTCCTTGAGCAGAGGTATGGCTTTTTCCACTGCAAGAAATGTAACATCCGGTGGGAGAGTGCTTATGTATGGTGCATCTCTGGAAGCAGTAAGGTGAGTGATCTGTTTTTCCATACTGAAAACTGATTTGAACAGCATACAATTTACTTTTATGTTGGGCAAAATATAAAGACTTTTGACCCCTTCTTCTGGTCAGGTGTACTACAAGCAGCTCTGCCGGAAGTGCCAGGTAGGGTTGAACCCCTACAATGTGGAGTCCATCCTGTGCAAGGTACATTCACGGGCCAAAAGTACAAACGTTGCAAGAGTTAACCACCTGAGCAGTGGGTATAGTAGGACCTGAAGAAGAGGTTCTACTCTCTATTCTTCTCTAATATCCTCCCAGCAGAGGATAAACTCCACAGAAGACTCTCTCTTGTTTATTTTGTTCACCTAAAAAAAACAAACAGGCCTAATTGTATTTACACATTGACACTCAACTTCTGCTGCTTGACAACTTCAGGGAGCAGGGGAGGTTGTAAAATAAACAACCGCTAGTGTTCTCGGATGACTTTTTGTTGTAACACGTTGCATGACACATTGATTTTGCAGTTAAACAGTCATGTAGATACATTTTTAAACATGCAGTATCACTGTAAAATGTATTCCATGGTCCTTTTTTTTTTTTTTTTGTTAAGAGAAAATGCCTGATTCATTTGCACTGTTTGAATCTTTATGGTTGTCATGTGTAGCTTACGATCAGGGGATTTAGAAGTTGTTTACCATATGGAGACTGAAAAATACGTGGTTATACTCTGAATGAATGCCTGTAAAGCTTTGAACTTTCACATTTCTCCCCGTATGTCAGGGCTGCTCTCAGACTAACTGCAGCTGCGAGAAGAAGCAGAGGCACATTAACATGAAGAGGCCTCATCGCCAGGACCTGTGCTGTCGCTGCAAGGGCATGAGGTTGTCCTGTGACGCCACCTACAGCTTCAAATACATCGTCTAGGCAGCAGTGCATGATCGCTCTGGTCTGGAATCAATGGCTCATGAAGATCTGGCACTTTTCATTAGGGTCATGACGGCACAGATACTGTACCTGAGTGTTCATGAATGGAAGTTACCTCCTGTAACATACTCGAAGGGATTTATTTATTCTCCTACCAGCGAGTAGCTGAATCTCTACCTGGGTTTGTTTATTTGAAGTAACTTCTACATGAACTGCATTTGTTTCCTGAAAACTATTTTTTTGTAAAAAAATATTAAATAAATAAAGCATCTTTAAAATGTTTACAATGCTTATTGATTATATGAAGTTGCATTCAGTCATTTAAAACCTTGATATTTTTTTTAAATTGCATTAATATTTAGAGCCCCGACAGCTAAATTTGATTTAACCTGTGCTGCATAAAATTATAACTTTCAGCATACAGCCCTAAACATATCACTGAAAAAGCACAAATAATTTCATGTCTTTTACTTTGACACCAACTTGTACAGAGCATAAACTCAAACAACTTCACAAAGGCTGTAAGAGTATTTACAAGGTGAAAAGAACAACTACAGTCTGAATCTAAAAAGCTTTAAAAATGTGCAATTTCTTGTTTGGCATGCACACACACGTTCTCCCACACGCAGGAAAAAAAACAAAAACATACCCGCATGAGCTTAAAGCTCCCTTTTGTACCTCACACACAAACGTATCTTTCAGATAAAATGATTTTTTTTGTAAATAAATATTTAAAACACTCCATACAGTACACGGACGATGCATGCATGGCAGTTTGATTTGGAAGAACATCAATAAAAAAAACCTAAGTCAAATGAGTAATTTGTAGCAGATCAGATATAAATAGGACAAAAGGGTATTTGTACAGCAAACAGCTTTCCGAGGGGGAAACAGTTACAAAAAGGGCCGACGACAGGAGGTGGTGAACTTCAGTAGTAGCACAGGTTTTGTTTTGAACATCAACAAAGAGTGCTGAATGTCAGCATTTCCCTTACGTGTAAGGTAACTACATACCACACACAAACATATGCTACAATGGTTGTGTGTCAATTACTAGTAACAGACACGGACAAAATATCTGAGTGTATACATGCACGGTTGTTTGGCATTTAAACATAAGGTCAGCTTGATACAGTGTGGGACAGAAATCTACAGTGTGTACATTTGCGAATGATGCTAACACTAGCCACAGAGGAGTGCAAAGATAATGGCATGATTATTCTACCAATGTTTACAACAGTAGTCAGGAGACAAGCTGCTTCACTGATGCAGAAATTTAAACAGAGCCAGGGTAGCACGAGGAATTACACTCGAATATTCTGCATCTGCTCCGTGTCAATCAGTCTTTCAGTCAGTCTGCACAGGTCAGACTTTTTAGGGAGCATAAGGGACAGGAATACAGTAGAGAGCATTCAACTGGGTCATGCATTGCACAATTTCCTCCAAAGCATCTTAAACAGTAGACACAACAAGAGAGAATATTCTAATCCAGCCTTGGGCTTTCCCTTCCCAGGAAAAGCTGCAGTGCTCTTCTCTCTCACAGTAACAAAAAAACCCAAAAACTAACATAATCTCCTTTTGTTTTAAAAGCGAATACCAAAATTCCATTTTAGTGCAATCGTGAAAAAACTCTACCAGTGACGTAACGTAGTGTCAGGAGTAGTTTTCTCTCTGAAACTACCATCAAACGATGTCCTCAAAGGGGGCAGCAACGAGTCAATCAAGTTCTATCAGGTTGTAAGTTTTTCTGGGAAGCAGGTCCAATCCGAGTTGAAAGCCTTCAAAGAGGTCCTCAAGTGCAGTTCAGTTTATGCTGAGTGTTGAGCATCAAGCATGACTGTGACCAGGAGTACAGCTAGATCCCAACATTAAGCTGTAAAGCAAAACAGGCGCTTGAATAGATACACATTTGATCATCTTTAATCAGCAGGCAGCCATCTGCAGTGTCCAACCGGTCAAGTGATTTATTCTGTCAAGTGTAAATTCAGTACGAAGTTTCTCAGATATTGTCGTCTCCTTTTTTTTGTTTCAGGCTTTAAAATTCATAAACACTGAAGCTCTTTATGTCATCTTCTGTTGAAAGTTTCAGTTCTCAGGTCTGGACATCTGACGGTTCAGTATTAAGGAGCCCCCCCGCTTTCAACAGAGGCAAGGCAGCATGTCCCACCTTCCCCAGGTAGCGAGATAAAGGTGTAGCAGAACCACCTAGGGAGCAACAACATCCCCATGCTGCAGCCTCTCCTGGGTCAGTGGGACAGGAAGGAGGGGTGAGAGGAGGAGGAGGAGGAGGCAGGGGAGAGAGGAGGAGAGATGAAGATGGTGCAGGGCTGTGCGTTAAGACTGACTCGTGGTCTGAATGTAGTGCAGGAAACGGGGTTGGGTTTTTGTACGGAGGGCTGGGAAAGTGGGGGAGATGTGAGCCTCTAGGGGGAAGGGGCAAAGTGTTTCTGTCACACTGCATGAGCAGGGTGGGTTCTGAGGCCACAGTCGGTAGCATGTGAGACGTGAGGGATGATTTCAGGCGAGGTGAGCTGTGTGATGAATGTCCTCTGAAAGGATTATAGAGCTCAGTGTTTTCATCCAGATAACGCCTCCTCGGCTCTCTTGTGCGTGGCAGTGTTAAGTCAGGTCGGCCTGGTGCGTTTGAGCAGCTCTGCGATGAGAACAGGTCTGGGGGTTTGGCGAAATCGAGAAAAGTGCTAATAGAGTCTACGGAAGATGAGGATGAGGAGATCAGAGAAAGGTTTGGGTGTAAATCCTGTTCTAGTGTTGGTTGAGGCGGTAACCAGGTATCTGTCTGGAGCTGAGCAGTCGGGGCAGCAGACACACAGGAGGAGGGAGGGGCCAGGTGTGCGGGTGCTGGATCTCCTCTGTAAGAGCAGACTGAGACGGATGTGGGGATGGTTTTGGAAGTGTCAATGGTTGAAGTAAGGGCGGGGGAGGAAGGGGTGGGGGGCTCCTGAGGTCCTGTCAGAGGCTGGTCCCGGAAACGCTGGAGTCGGGGAGGTAGGTTGTGACGACCCGGTAACCCTGGGCGCGGCGGATCATGTCGCGGATCTCCCCGTTGAGCTCCAGCAGCTTGGAGCAGATCAGGCTGAGGTCCTGGCGGGATCCGACAAGGGCGATTGTTCCAGTCTGGCCCAGAGTCTGGTGCCGGAAGTAGACATTGAGCAGTGTCTGGACCTCGCTCTCCGAGCTCCCACCGAACACTCCACAAGGCCACTGCCTCCTGAAACAAGATACAAAGGAAGGTTTGATAGGTCAAATTGATGGGTGAACATGTGCAGAAGTGTGTGAAGAACATACAAGTCGGATGAGGACTAGTGCATTTTCAATGGATACAATCATACCTTGATATTTGACAATGCTTGAAGAAACCTTGACAGGGTGATACGGGACCCTCATGTGGAGGGTATAAAGAAATCAATGATTTCACACAAATATTGATTTGGTAAGGATTTTACTGATGTCACTTTTATATTATTCTTGTGCTAAAACAGAGTCTGCTATGTTCTTTATTTGGAATGCGACTTAGCAACGGTAACTAAATTGGCTTCTTAAAACTAGCCCGCTAAGCTGTTTCAGTAGATATTAAACTCAACAGTTCCTTTCAAAGGGAAGTGACACGAAGTGATCTGGACTGCAAGAAGCACTGCACGACCTGCTGAGGTTTTCTGCACCGTAACTGTCAAAGTCTGTTGACATAAACCAGGCTATACAATGTTCTGTTTAGTGCTTACCTCATTTCTTTCATCTTCAAATGTGTTTATTTCTGTCTAACAGCTAGTTAGAGACCTGAGAGTGCACTTAAAAGTATTTACCAAAGCAGTGTTATTAGCACCAAAACAACAGTCAAGAAAGCACCTGCTAGACTTAAAGCAATACATGAACTTAAAACTCAATCTACCAATATGTTTCTAAGACTAAATATGGTTTACCCTGCAAAGGATCTGATAAAACTGAAAACACCTCAAAACACTAGTTTCAATACTTTTCTTTACACATCAATCTCACAGATGTAACCGACTTTTTTCTATTCCAAGACATTTTAGAGAGACAGAATACAACTTTATTGTGGGACATAAAAACAATCAACATTTAAGAGTATTTATATGTCAGCATAAATCTTGGACACTGATGATGAGGTCATCTGGCGACCTGTATTTAGTGTAGAAAAGTTGCACACCTGCACTCCTGGATGTAACGCACAGCTTTGGTGAACTCGTGGTTCTTAAGGCACTCCAGTATGGCCTGCACAGCTGCCTCAGAGGTGGGGAAGCTGGGAACAACCACGGCTGCCACCTGGGTGGCGTGCGCATGGGTGTGGGCCAAGAGTTTGTGTTCCAGGTCACTGGCCACGGCCGCCTCTGCTACCTGCAGGCTCGTCTTCAGATCAGTGAGCTCCCGAGACATATTCAGTAGCTATGAGGAGGGAGGAAACCAGGAGGTGATTTAGTGTGTGTGGGTGTGTATGTGAGCTTTTCAAGTAATCCGTGAAGGAACATTTCACATAAGAAGCTTTGACTTTCAGCTTTTTAAACATTTATCAAGTAATGGACCGTGATTGGGCAAAAAGGATCATCTGTTGCAGCGTTCCTGATCATTTGTGTGTGGGGGAGGGGGGTTTTTGGGTGCATTTCCTTATTGCTTGAAGAATACTTGTCTGGGGTTATTTCTGTTTTTGTTTTGCTTGCAGTTATACAGCTAACAAGCTGTTTCTTTCTTTCCTTTGTTGATTTAATTGAAATGGCTTCTTTAGTGCTAACCCCATGCTGCTGTAATTTGGTCAGTCTGCAATATTGAGCATGCTAAACTATGTAAATAGTTGTGTGAGAGAATTTTAAAAATGTTAACTGCTGAGTGCCTAAAGCAAACACAAGTATATCACTTTGTAAAATGACACTGACTGCTACTTGTGTAGCCTCCAAATGTGTTTTAACATCCTGTCTTCATTTGCCATTAGAGGAGGGGCAGACAGGTTATTATTCAGTATTGTACAGATATACAGAGTGTCCATTACATAGTTTGCCTACTAGTTAGCACTAACGAGAACATTATTTCATTATAAAATTGGTCACTTTTCTATATTACCGACTCTAAATGATCCTTATTGAAAAGCCTTTTGGTCAACACTGTAAATGATTTGTTGATGAATTATGATTTGGCTCACCTCAGGCACAGAGCTGATGGCATGAACCTGACCGATGAGTGAGCAGTAGGACTGGAAGAGTAGGAGAAGCTGGAAATGCAGCTTGTAGAGTCTCTGGCAAAGCTCCAGTTGC